TTTTGAATTTCTGGAAATTTCATCAGTATGCGTCGACCATACAGTCGGCATGCGCTGACCCGTTGGAATTCTTTTCCTTTGTGCGCCGACCCTATGATCGACCAAAGCTTTCATGCGTTGACCCGCTGGAAAATTATCCTTTCATGCGTTGACCCAATGGTCGACGCATGCTTTGTGCGCTGACAGTCCTTCCCTTGTTTTTGATGGATACGTCGACTCTTTGGTCGACCCATGTCCTGTAATCCTGCAAAATGTTGTTAGTTTGAGGTTTCTCATGCCTTTAGTCATGATTGCAGTTTGTCAACTCAATGTATATTTCTTTAAGACAAATTAAGACAAGTAAAAGGATAATATGCTGAGTGATATGTTGCATCTGGTTAGTGAATCTGGAACTCATACTTTCCAGTCTATCCTGGAAATTTGTCATCATCGAAACCTGCATTTACCAATGTCTTGCAGCTTTGTGTGATATGTGGCGACTTGCCTCCACACAATTATCTGGTTGTACTAAAACACTAGTGAATATGCCTTGTAGCGCAATGAACCTTATAAGAAATTTGGAGCTATGGGCTTTTGCTTGTAAAAATAAAGGATCATTGAAACTTTCTGCCACATTCTTGAAAATCTTCAACCTTTGCATTCTCACATTATTATCATACCTTTAAAATTTGACTAAATCCACAGTCACTAAGTCTTGAAGTCTCAATTTAAATTCTAAAGTTCTTGTCGTCTTCAAGAAAATAAAATAACTCCAATTGAGCTACTGAAAAAAATGAGTCGGGACCTTAAATTGAAATGAACCCACCACCTGAGTTAAAACTTGAATCGCTCCTGGAGTAAACCGTAACTCCAATTTGGCCTTGAATAAAAATTGAACTCCAATAAATTCACATTTAAACTTGATATTAAATAGGGTGTGGAATCGTCCAGAATTATTGCCATGGACCCAAAACCTCATTGCTTTGAAATTAAGAAATAATGCCTTCAAGTATGTACTTTACTAAAACTTTGCAGAAATCAGCTTCGACCTGCACTATTCCTCATTCAACATTATCCACATGCCTGACCTGACACCTCAAGTGAAAATAACAATATTTTTTTGCTCTTTTTTTTAATAAAGCAAGTGGGTAAATGTACATAATGGAAACTGTACAAAGGTAGGACAAATTTGGGGTATGACAGTATGCGACATGTGTGTGAAAACACTGTCGGTACACATTTGTTTTTCTAACATTTATCTGTAGGAGTGAGATTGAAATAAGTGGAGAGAAGTTTGTACTTCTCCAAGATGCTTCAAGTGTGGAGTGGTGGCTTAGTGTGTCGTTGAACATTATTATAGTTTGATAAAGATGGTTTATGCTCCATCGTCTATTAACAAATTGAGGAACTGATCACCCTTAATCTCTCGTTGATAGGAGACAGGATCATGTTGGATGGAATAGACATGTCTTGCGAGCTTAGGTGGTGTGTGCAGTGAATTGTTTGAAGTTAAGCCAAGTGCTTACATACTGTTTTGATGAGTCGATATAGGATGGTGTTGAGATATTTATGTTAATGACAACTTTGAGTATTAGTAAAGGTGTAGAAGTTGGTGTTTTGCCAATTGTTTGTGATTTTCCGGAAGTTTTTCTTGATGAGATAAGTGATTTACCGCCGAAACGTGAGATGGAGTTTACGATCGACTTAGTTCCTGGAACTAGTCCGATATCAATGGCTCCATATCGTATGTCCGTATCGGAATTGAAAGAGTTGAAGAGTCAACTTAAAGATCTGCTTGAGAAGAGGTTCATTTGTCCGAGTGTGTCACCGTGGGGTACACCAATTTTGTTGGTTTAGAAGAAATAAGGTTCTATGAGGCTTTGTGTGGACTATAGACAATTGAACAAGGTGATTATTAAGAATAATTATCCCTTTTCGAGGATGGATGATTTGATGAATCAATTGGTTGGTGCAAGTGCGTTCAGTAAGATAGATATGAGGTTTGGGTATCATCAAATTCGTGTGAAGGCTGAAGATATTCAGAAGACTACTTTTAGAACGAAGTATGATCATTATGAGTATTCCGTGATGCCATTTGGTGTGACTAATGCATTAGGTATATTTATGGAGTACATGAACATAATTTTTCATCCTTATTTGGACAAGTTTATGGTTGTGTTTATTGATGATATTTTGATCTATTCGAAGAGTGAAGAGGATCATGTTGAACATCTGAGGAACTGTTTATGGTTGAGAACTGTTTATTGTATATTGTGATGCTTCGTTGATGAGATTGGGAGGTGCGTTGGTGTAACATAAGCAAGTTGCAGCTTATACTTCAAGGCAACTTAAAGTGCATGAGATGAATTATCCGACGCATGATTTAGAGTTGGTCGCTGTTATGTTTGTATTGAAGCTTTGGAGGCATTACTTGTTTGGGTCGAGATTTGAGGTGTTTAGCAATCATAAGAATTTGAAGTATCTATTTGATAAGAGAGAATTGAATACGAGACATAGGAGATGGTTGGAACTTCTAATATGATTTATTCTATCATATTGCACAAAAACCTGTCATTATCAAATATTAGAAAAAAAACCCAAAATTTGTGTCTGTAACTTGTTTTCCAAGATTGTGGGAAAACAAGAGGTTTGTAATAGAGAAAGTGTTTTGCTTACTCCATGTTGTAAAATCAAAAGGTGGTTTGCCTGGGTGATTGTTTTAAAAACTTGTATAAAGAAGTTGGGATTGGACTTGTATAATGTTCTAACTATATTAAAATCTTTTAATGTGTAAGGAGACTGAAATACTCTCAGATTGTGAGAGGAACCAGAAAATGTCATAGGTGTTCTTTATTTTCTGCAATTTACTGCATTCATCACCGAACCATGAACCAGAAAATAAGGAAACACTTATCTCTAAAACCAGAAAAATTTTAAATTATCTAATTCACCCCTATTAGGTGCACCATTTTCTTACAAAATGATGTACTAGAGATATGTCAAAAATCCGACAACTGTTGAGGACTTTCAACTTCTTTTTTGGATGCTAAAATCTTCAACTTTCAAAAATTAATATCAATAAGGTTTAAACCCTGGACCTTTGCTATGCAAGAGCGCACCCCAACCACCAGATTACATGTGCTATTAGTATAATAATTTGTAATAAATAATAGTATTGTTTTTTTTCTTCCAATTATACCATTCATTTAAATAAATAATAGTGTTTAAAATAATATTTTTTTTACAATATTATTATATTTACATTAAAAATAAAACTTATTTTGTTATGCAATATTTATCTTGAATTATGTGTTTTAGTTAAATAGTGTAAATTTGAGTTTTATTTTAAAGTAATACAGTTGAAGGAATAAACTTAATATATTGTTATAGAAACGATGCATTTTTATCAGAGAAATGGATCTTAGATTTTTCGTCGTCATGATTCTTTACGTTTAGACAATTATCATGAATCGATCCAAAATATGAATCATTTTACAACAAATTCAGTCTAGTAAGTGCATTCAGCCATAGTATAAATCATTCATATTTTATCAAAGACCATCAAAGAACCAAAATTATTTCAATCATCAAGCGAATCATCCACCTGCATGATGCCAATTTTCTTGATTTATAATGTCAATTATGCCACTGAAAATGCCAAATTCCGTCAACAAAAAAATATGCATGTTTATCTCCTTCAAAATTATTTCTTATTATATTATAGTAAGATAATTTTGTTATTCTGTTTAAAATAAATAAATTAGTCCCTTCAAAATTATTATAGTAAAATTATATTATTTTTAGTTGAATAAGTTTTATTTTTAATTTAAGTTTTAAAGTGTATTTATCTCATAAAATTAACATTTATGCATTTGTTCTGCTTTCCATTAACTTTTGATCTAATTTAAATTTAAATTTTAAACTTAAAATAATTTTTTTGATTTTTCTATTTTATTTTTTTATATAATTTTTTATATATTTTAAATTTAAATAATTTTAAATGCAGAATGTTATTAAACCTAAAATTTATTTTAAATTAGTTTTTAATCTTAACAATATTTTTTTAAAATATATTAATTTATTTAAAATACAAACCTCATTATATTGTTTATGTACTTAATTTATGCATACAAACATGTAACCCTTTTTTAGACATTTATTCAGTTAAATGATCTCACTATCACTTTTTATTTTATTTTTAAATTCTTTATGTTGGTCTCTAAAATAACTCTACTAATATGCATAAAAATATTTTTAATTTTGTAAAAACAATTTTCTTTCATACAGTAAAAAAACCCACTTACTACCGTGGCATACACTTATCAATTTTTATAAATTTTATGTAAATAATAAATTTTGATTAAATTATTTTAACTTTTTTTAAAAAATTATTATTTTTTATTAAAATGGTTTATCCAAACACACTAATAATTTAATGATGAAAATTTTTACATAAAATCCAACAAATTCCAAAATATTTTTTTTTAATAGTAGATTTTTCTTTCCCTAAGTCAATCATAAAAAAAAAATATACAAGATAAAAGACTCAAAATAATATTATCTATAATCTATCACATCAACATTGAGTAACAATTTTTAATAGAAATACTGAATTAAAAAAAACAGTTCATGAATCTGATTACAACTTTTTAAAATTTATTTTAATTTATTTTCATATAAAGTAATCTACTATTTAAATATTTCAATGAGTCAAAAGACTAAACTTTTTCCCTTAAACATAATACTAATAATATACTAATCATAATAGCTATAGTTAATTACCCTAATGTCCTCAAATTTTTGGATCTCACTTACCCCCCAAAAATGACCGAACTCGAAAACTGCGCAATCTTTCTAGGGTTCTTAACCCTTCACTCCCTCCACGACTCTGCGAATTTCACTCTCTTTGTTCATCTTCAGGTATGTTTATCTTTCCATTCTCTTTTTCCCTTTATTCTAATTTCGCTTCATTTTCTTGCATGTAATTTTTTAATCATGTAGGAAAAAGGGTTTGTGTGAAAATGGATGGGGAAGAGCATATGCATATGCATGATGTTCCTTCTTCTGTAGGAATTTCTGCTTCTGAAGCTGAAAACAACAGTGTCAAAAACATGGAAATAGGTGATTTTGTGGATGAGGGGGAAAATCTGGAAGCTGAAAAGTCAGTTCAATCTGAACAAGAGTGTGATAATTCATTGAAAGAAAAGAAGGATTTGGAATTGCAAGTGGATTTGGAGTTGCACGAGACGGTTGTGAAATCGGTGGAGGGAGTGAGAGAAACATTGCATGCTGCTGAGACTGTTAGCCTTTCTCTCAAAGATGAAAGTCCCAACGGAAGCTTTGAGATTGGTAGAAGAGGTATAATTTCATTCCACAAAATTTTGGCTATATATTTATAAAGGTTGTTTTGTTATGTGTGTTTTTTGAGGTTCTATTTGGAAAACCATTGGATTTTGCTATGTGGAAACCCACTACAGGTTAAATTGATTTGTCAAAATTGCAAGTTTCTCTTCTGTCTGTGCTATTTTCTTTTGTAATTTGTTTTCTGAGAATGGTGTTTGAGAATCTGTGTGAACTATGAAATATCTTCAACTTTTTTTTTTTAAAAATTTCTTAATTGCGTTTTTTAATTCTATCAGAGCAAGAAGTCTGTAATTTCAGTAAAAGCAATAGTTTGCTTATAATTTACCACAATCTATTATTTTCATCTATCCAAACTATGTAAGAAATGCATATAAAAAAATTAAACAGCCATATTATAGTCGGAAGAACATTTTTGCTCTGATTGAAACTATATTTGCCAAATAAAGTTGCTAGAATTGAATGGTGTTCCTCCCACCCCCCAAAAATGCTCATTTCACGATTTTCAAAACATGCCTTATCTTATGTTTCATGATCATAATATGTTACTTGATTAGATTAATCTATGCAGACATCTTCCTAGTTCTACTCTGGTGTATTATGGATTGAGTCTGACAAATACTTTTGGAAAAGTTGTATCCCAAGTTTTCATGTTATTATCCTACTATAGTCTGTTTCATTTATATGACACATAGCTGTTTCAGGTGTTAAAAGAGCCCGGATAACTGTTGATGATGAACAACAGCCTTCTGTTCATTTTATTTACAAGTCCCTGACAAGGTTTGTGGTACTGCCTTTTCTACAGGTTGTTGCGGAAAAATTCAAAGCAAGGGACATTATTGACGCCCCAAAATCAACATGTATATGTTGATTTTTTTTATTGGGTTAAAAATATTTTTAATCCCTACAAAATGACGAGCTTTCAAGTTTAGTCACTGTTAAATTATCATTGAAATTTTGGTCCTCCATAATATTGCAATTTGTAAAAATAGTTATTTTGAAAAGGATATTTTTAGCCCTCAAAATAGTCCCTATGAAATGCAAATAGGGACTAAAAGTGAAAGTTATTTTGAGGAACTAAACTTGAAGGTTCGTGATTTTGTAGGTACTAACAATATATTTAACCCTTTTATAGTACAATAATGTCCAACCTTTGCAGTTTGTTTTTCACTTATTGAAATTTGACTTGTGTTTGAATACTTTTCAGAGCTAGTAAAAAGAAGCTTGAGGAATTATTACAGCAATGGTCCCACTGGCATGCTAAACATGTTTCCCCATCCAATGTAAGTCCAATTGATTTAAAAATTTTCAGTGAAAGAGTATCTTCCTTAGTTATAAATAAGTGAGTAAATAGAGGATACCGAATAAAATAATATGACAAGAAAACATGTAAATACAGTGGAAAACATGAAGACAAGGATTTTAAATAAAGTTGGATCTGTGCAGTTTTTGAGCTATAATCCAAATACCTATGGTCGGCTTCTCTTGAAAAACCTTAGTGCTCATGATTGACTTTCAGTTTCAAACCAAGCATGAAAGATCATTGGATATTTGGTGTACTGTCAGGTCAAATAGGCCCAATTGCGCTATTAAGAAATGCAATTTTCGCTGTTTTAGTTATCCACTGAATTATGTTTGAGAATGTTTTTCTGTGCAGGATCCTAGCGAAATGTTGGAATCTGGTGAGGAAACATTTTTTCCTGCTCTATGTGTTGGACATGAATCGACATCTTCCGTGGTGAGTATCCTAGGTCTGTTTTTGTAAACCTGCATAGCTTCTGGATGTGATCCTTTTAATTCCATTACTTGGAAAGTTTACAGTAAATATTATAGTGTTAAGCACACATATACTGAATTTTGTAATATTTCCTTCATCTGTTATTAATACTATCTCTTGCTTAACTCTTGTTCAAGTTTGACATGCACTCTATCATTTTAATCATTTTCACTTGGTATTCATGCTATCTTATTCTAAGTGCCTTCATTTCTACATTCTAATCAATGCATTTTATGAGATTTCTAGAGTAGTTGTTAAAAGCCTATATGCAACGTAGTTATGCCAATAATCATTACAAGGATAGTAAGCATGATATTTTTTGCATGTATTGTCTCCTCTTATTAGAATAAGAAGAGGAAACGGTTGTTGTTCACGACATCAAATATATAACTTTCCCTCCATTTATTTAATTTGCAGTCATTCTGGATGGAGAATCAGACAATGAATGGTATTAACACAGATGTTAGTCCTATAGATGATAATTCCGTGCCTCTATATGATCGCGGATATGCTTTGGGATTGACTTCAGCTGATGGTTCGACTATTGCGGACAGGTATGCACGTTTACTCTGTAGTATTATTTAAGGATGAAGCTGTGGGTGCACTTACCTGTTCTAGATGCTACATGTGATCATATGTAGCTTGAAATATTATATGATATATCATGAAGTGACATGGCTACTAGAAATATCTACTTTTTATTGATATTGTCACAAACGGATTATCCCAAAAGCTTACGCTGTTATTGCAGTTGACTGAAAGTGTATGAATTGTTACTTTTGCTGAAATGTTATACTTTTATCTAGAAGAACTAAAAGAATGGGGGTAAAAAGGATTGAACTCTAAGCCACAAGGAACTTACTATCCGAAAAGCTTTATTATTAGGCGAAAGATAAATGAATGGTTTATATTATATCTCTATCTGTCTATCACACCCCCTCAAACAAGAGCCTTAGGGATCTACATGGACAGTGCCGCAGGGCGAAAGGACCGAACTGACATAAGGTTTTTATTAGAATAATGGAGTGGCAACGATCAACCTGTAAAACCCCTATTATCCCAAAAGCTTCCGCTGTAGGGTGAAAGCACATGAATGGTTCTTTATATCTAATAAATATCACGTTTTGCCATCTAGCTTGTATCTTGTCTGTCCATAATTGCAATAATTGGTTTTCATGGAAAAACATAGTTTCAATTATGTGATGCAAAAGCTAATTCTTGTTTCTAATTTCTACTTAATGTAGATGAAGCATCATGTTGCCTATTTTATTAGGATTTAAGAAAGAAAGCTAATTTTAATTCTTTATGGAAATGTTAATTTGGGTTCTATAGGATCTGGTATCTAATCCCACATGCTTGTTAAGGTATATGGTTATTGTGGAGAAGTGAGAGAGGTCATGCATTTAAAAATGGGAGGGAACAATAGAAGGGGTCTGGAAAATTAGTCGTGGCTTGTGGGATAGGCTAGACATTCAAATTCTCTATTTGCTTTTTTAAACGGTCAAACTTGCAATTCTATGTGAGTCTACCCGAGTTTTAATTTTTGTAGCAGACTAGACCACTAATTAATTCCAGAGGAGGTCCAATGAGACCTTTTTTTTTTTTTGTATTTTGAATTTGCAGTAAATAAGTGGCATATTGTGTTCGAGTAGAGAAGGATATAGGCATTACCTGTGTTGTTATTATGTGGTTATGGTAGCACCATAACACTGTTGTGTTAAGTGCTCCCAAATACAGTTTTTGGATTATGAGGATTTCTATTATGGATTCTTATGGTGGAATCTAGTTACTTCTTTCATATTTTACATGTTTTGTTCTATCTAGTGTCTCAAAGTACCTTTCTTTCATGCATCTCTTGTTATGGTGGCATGTTTCTAATTAATATGAATCATTTATTTACTCAGGTAAAAGAGTTTCTATTCATTAGTGTAACTGTTATGGCCACAAACCTATTTGGGAACAGAGTATACCGCATGCTTGCATCACAGTTTATGCCTTCTTTAATTTTTTTTTAATTTTCTAATATTACAGTGGTCTGGAAATCATAGATGTTCCTTCCAGGTGTTTCAATTGTGGTTCATACAGTCATGCGTTAAGAGAATGTCCAAGGCCTCGTGACCATGCTGCTGTCAATAATGCTCGCACTAAACTTAAATCCCGACGGAACCAAAATTCTTCTTCTCGTAATCCTACTCGGTATTATCAGAATTCACCTGCTGGAAAGTTTGACGGTTTGAGGCCAGGTGCTCTTGATGATACCACACGTCAACTCTTGGGCTTAGGGGTAAGAGTTATTGAAAATGTTGTTTATGTATTTGAATTTATAATACATTAAAATTTAGGTCTTTATTTTTGAAAGGATTGAGAAAGTTGTTCTATAGGAAAGATGTGAGGTAAAATTTAACTAGGTGACAATACTAATAGGATATCCTTAAAAGTCCAAAGTAGTTAGAAAGATGATATTACTTGAGAAGAAATCAACAATACCCCAAAGCTGTGCAATCTATCTCTAAATATTGGAGATATCATCTATGTTGAGACAATATGCAGTGCAGAACACTTCAGAGAATCTATGAACAGTTGAACACAGCCGGCTGATGTTGTATATATGCAAATATTGGATTAAATTTATAGTATTATATGTAAAATATAGTAGGTTTAGCAGTGTAGTACTGTAGTGGTTTATTGTTCAACTGATATTTTGCCATTCCTACTTTTATCATCAGCTTGTTTTTAGTAATAACTAATAACAAGTTAGTAACAAAAAATTTCTTTAAAAGGTTAGTTACAAAAATTGGTAGAAATGCAATATTGGTTCTATCTTTTTATTTGGGTATTATTACAATAGTTTGGATTTTGAAAAATGATATATTATGAATTTCATGATACTAATGAACAGTGAAGGAAGATATATTTTGAGATTAACTGATTGAGTCAAATGAATTCTACACATGATGAATACATGCATTCTACTAATTACAAGAGACAATAAATTAATAGAATTATTCACATGATAACTGAGGTTCCAATGCTTCTTGGAGCTAATTATCTATTTGTTGATGTGTTAATTTCAACAATTACATTTAAAATACTCTCCCTCAATCTGAAGCTTATATATACAAAATATTCAACTTGTCACCGGTGTAAGCTATTCTTGGTTAGTGGTTTGATAATTGGAATTAACAAAGGAAGTAATAATCACCTAAAATAATTTTTTTCGGACTAAGAAACACTCGATCTCAACATGTTTGGCTCATCCATGGAAGACTGGATTTGAAGAAACATGAAATGTCTGCTTGATTATCTCACTAGCATGATAGGCCCAATTTCACAAAGTCTCGATACCTTCAATAGCCGCTTTAACCATGAGTTTACAAGTAATGAGATTCATAGGAATCATCTCACCTCAACACTAGATCTAGCAAGAACATTTTAAATATTAGATCCAACCCAATCAACATTAGAATAAGCAATAATATTCTCACTTTTTTGCCTTTTTCAGTTTCTTATAAACAGTGAAAGAAGATGTATTTTTTGTGATGATATGGAACTAGTTATCTATTTATCAATGTGTTAATTTCATAAATTCCAACTGTTGTCTTACAATTTTATCTTCTGTGGCAGGATTTTGTCTTCATAAATTGTTCTTTCTGTGGTTATGCAGGAACTTGATCCACCACCATGGCTCAACAGAATGCGAGAATTAGGATACCCACCAGGATATCTTGGTAAAAAACATTTCTTTGATCTTCAACTATATCATCCTTGAGAGGGAAGATTATATTTTCTCTGTTTTTTTGAATTATTGATGGAAAGCCAACTAAGAAAACAATAATGCATAGTGAATCCATTAGGCTAATCTGTTTTTTTGAGTTAAAACGAAGACAAAACCTTTTCATATGCGATAGAAATTCAAATGGTTGAATTGTTGTATTTAAATTGCATCTGATACTTTTTTATAGCTCTGAGAAATGTTGATTGCTTCTGAAAGTTATTGAATTAGTCTTTAAACACTTCACAAAGTTGTATCCTTATTTCTATATTGTTGGCTCTCCTATTTTTTGTTTTTTTTTTTGTTTTTGATTGATAAATCCTTCTTTGCTTTCCATTTTTCTTATTTGGTATCATTGTCTTAACTCGTATTGGAATTCAGATGCGGATGATGAGGATCAGCCTTCTGGCATTACAATATTCACTGATAAGGACATGGAAGAACAGGAAGACGGTGAAATTGTTGGAGCAGATTCTTCAAAGCCAAAGCAGAAAATGAGTGTTGAATTTCCAGGAATAAATGCTCCTATTCCAGAAAAAGCCGATGAAAGATTGTGGGCTGCTAGAGCTGTAGTACCCTCAATCTCGTCAGATATATCAAGGAACTGGTCACAGAAGAGGTCAGCGAGTTTTGGTAGCCGGGGACATCACCGTGAGCAGAGAGTAGGTGACTTAAGGGATGATGGTCCTCCAGGGGACCCAGGACTCAGTTCATCACAATTTAGTTTTCAACCTAGGTTTGGTAGTGGCCATGTTTCTCCGAATACAATGTCAGAGTGGAGTAGTAGAAGGCATCCTTTGCATGAAGAAGAGTCCCCAAAGCCTTTTTCATTCCATTCTCAATATTATTCAACCCCGGATAGGTATGTTTCATCATTGGAACGAGATTCTGGTAGCAGACATGGAAGCCGGAGTTCTGGTAGCTTGCATGACAGAGATAGAGACCGAGATCATTCATCTCGATTTAACGATAGGCGTCCGGAAGACCGTCATTATCATAGTAGAAGGTGATAGTTGAAATTGCATTAAATATGACTATGTCTGAGTTCTGATTTAGTACTTGTAGAACAACAGACTTTGATCGACTCAACATGATAGATATTTGTTTCGCCACTCAGGATAAAGTTTCATACAAACCAAGCATATTGGTAGGTTATGAAGACACATTGGAATTGTTTATACTCACCTGTTAGTGACATGAGTTATGCAGAGTTCTAAGCTATTTTTGGTAATTTTGCGTGCACTATTTCCTTTTGTGGTTAGTTGCTTACTTAACTCATTTGCTTGTGGAATGGATTATCAGTTGTAGAACTAATGACTCTTATTTAAGTATATGATTATCTGTATTGTTTGGCCATGTAGTTTGTGAAATTTTTTTGCAACAGAATATGATTTTATTTGTGAAAGATGAATTATGACTATGCTGTAGTTTTCTGTATTAGTTTAAATGTGTGTTGGCCCATGTCTCAAAGGAAACTAGTTAAAATACACAAATTGATAAAACAAACTTTCTTATTTTTAGACTTAATTTTCTTTCATATCTCAAATTCATCACCAATTTTAAATATTCTGATAGAAAAAAAGTGAGGTTGAAGGATTAATTGATAGAAGAATTTTTTAGTTTAGTTTTTCACCAATTCTAAAAATGTATAAAATGATAAAATCCAGTAAATTAAAATATTTTTTTGGGCAAAATTAGTTAAATAAATGATAAAATAATCTATATTTTTTTTATAAATTAAATAAAAGTTTGTAATGACATGGTTTTGGTATAGTTTTTTTCTTTAGAATTTATTCTTTCTCTAAATTTTTTATTCATAGTTTCACCATTCTTTAATAATTAAATAAATGTATTTAATCATAATTTGAATCAAATAACTTTTGATCTAATCTCAATTTATATTTTAAGTTTAAATAACAATTTTGGTCTTTAATTTAATTTAATTTTATATACTTTTTTTCATATTTAAAATTTGGGAATTGCTAAAGGCAGCTAAGGATTGCAGCCACCCCTAAGGAAAAATTAAAAATATCCTCACTTCTGAAGATACATTTTTGGTTGCCCTTAAAATATAATGTTTCAGATTCAGTTGAATAAAAAAAATACGGAGATACGGAGATGTGTAACACGTTACACTTTAAAAGACGAAACAAAATAAATGTCACTCAAACACAACATAAACTTTTTCTGTAACACGAGTTATATAAAATATGCATTAAATTAAACATTTGTCATCACATGCTCACCTTAACATAGGCTCATCGCAGCGAAAATAAATCAACAACCAATTAAGCCTCATAACATAAAACAAGGTTATGGCTAAATGCCTTCAACATCACACATAATAACAAATGATAAAACAAATCGTTCATACGTCCAATGTTACATTTCAGAACAACGAAATACTAAACAATAATATAAAATAGGAAAAAGAAGAACATCTTCTACGTCATCCTTCAACCTCTAAACAACTACTCATTTACCTGTTTGCCTGTATCCCAAAAAGGAACACCAAACTACACAAACAACAAAAAGGTGAGAATACACTCATAATATATAAAAGTGCAAAAGTATGCAAGGTTTCCTAAACAAACATCAACAATTATTCATCACAAGCCATTCAAATACATTTCCAAAGTACTCTCATTACTAACATCCACATAATCATCGAAATACATATGCAAATAATGAATGCAAATATACTCAACACCACGACTCAATAATATATGCAATACTTTTATGGACAACACATGTCCATCTTGCTCCTGAATCCTCACCATCGGAACATAGCACACCAAAATTCGTTGTTATCACCATAAGCAACATCTCACTAATTCCTCATTAGAATTATCTACTCGCTTTTGAATCCATACCACTGGACCAGAGCACACCAAAAACTGGACTGAAACCCGTACACTATGATGCATGATTCACCATAACATGCAATCTCACAAAAAATGATCATCATGAATTTATCACCAATATGTACACAACATGCTCCATATAACACAAGTGAATCAATTCAATAATAACATCATAAACAACATCACGCCTTTACACACAATGGTCAAAAGTAGCCTACACACAACACAATACCAACAATCAGAACGACAAGTCAATTTCTATGCAATAGAGTGAATGTCGCTCGTTCAGGCAGCGTGACGGGTTACCCGTCACCAAGGTGACGCTCGCCATCCTACATGCCACCTCACCCTTTGTCCCAGTGACAATTGTCCCAACCAACCATGCCTGGGGACCATGATAGCTACCAGTCAGAAAGCTAACGCCCGTCAACGCCTTCAAAGCGATGCCGACCAAGGTGTCATTAGGGTGACACCCGTCACCCTGAACCAGAAGTAGAATCTACATTTTCTGAATTGGAGTTCAAAATAGAACTCCAGTTTTACATCCTCTGACCCTAAATCGCACAACAATAGCAAGGGAAATAACACCTAACATCTAAACATCACTTATCAATCAATTAACATGCAATTTCACTCATTTAGTCATGAATTTGACACATTTTATTCATGAATTTCACAACAACATATGAACACACTTCCATAGAAATTTCATCAACAAGAACCCATAATTTTCAGAGCATAACAGTGCACAAATTTCACATATTGCATCACACATATGATACAATTACATAACTCAATCACATATTCATCCAACATTCATCAAAAGGGAAAATGCAATGGGATTACCAAGATGGTAACTCAAGCCAAAATCATAGTCCTTCAGAAATTCGAGCCATCTCCTTTGCCTCATGTTCAACTCCTTCTGATCAAATAAATACTTCATACTCTTGTGATAACTAAACACCTTAAATCTAGAGCCAAACAGATAATGTCTCCAAATCTTCAACACAAACACCACAACTACTAACTCAAGATCATGTGTAGGATAATTCCTTAACTCTCAACTGTCTAGAAGCGTAAGTCACAACCTGAACATTATATATCAGTACACCACCTAGACCCATCTTTGAAGCATTACAATACACAAGAAAGGACTCACTTGGATTCGGAAAAATCAAAATTGAAGCAGACATCAACTTCTTCTTGAGTTCTTGTAAACTCTCCTCACAATGCACATCATAAACATAGGCTTGACCCTTTCGATTCAATTGAGTCAAAGGCAATGATAACTTCGAAAACCCTTCGATAAACTTTATGTAGTAACCAACCAAACCAATAAAATTTCTAATCTCTGTAACAGACTTCTGAGTCTCCCATTGCAACACAACATCTATCTTTGACGAATCCACAACCATACCACCACTAGAAATCACATGACCGAGGAAACTCACCTATCATAACCCGAAATCGCATTTGAACAACTTCACATACAACTGCTTATTTTTCAAAGTTTACAGCACAACCCTTAGATGCTCTACATTTTTCTCATTAGACTTCAAATATATCAAGATGTCATCAATGAACGCAACCATAAACTAGTCTAAGTACGGATGAAATATTCTATTCATGTATTCCATGAACACTCTTGGTGCATTAGACACACCAAACAACATTACTGAATATTTGTAATGACCATACCTCGTTCGGAAAGCAGTATTTAGAATATCTTTTGGGTTCACACGAATTTGATGATAACCCAAACGTGTATCAATTTTGCTAAACACACATGCACCAACCAACTGGTCCATCAGATCATCAATCCTTGGAAGTGGATACTTATTCTTGATAGTAACCTTATTTAGATGTCGATTGTCGACACAAAGTCTCATACTACCATCTTTCTTCTTCACTAATAACACTAGCGCACCCCAGAACAAAACACTCGGTCGAACAAACTTCTTCTCAAGAAAATCTTCCAATTAATTCTTCAATTCACTAAACTCTGAAGCAAATTTTCTATAAAGAGCCATCGATACAATACTAGTATCAGGTACTAAGTCTATTGCAAACTTAATCTCATGCTCCGGATGTAAATCACTGATATCGTCAGGGAACACTTTCAAAAATCACACACCATAGGTAACTCACTAATCACAACTTTGCTCCCAATCTTCACATAAGCTAATATCATAAACATGTTAGAAGATAGGCTTAGATCTAGATGAGGGGTGAATAGATCACAAATTTTACAACCAAAAACTTAGGCAAAAATTTGTTTTCAAAAATATGGTGCAGCTGAAAAACAACCAGAATCAAATCGTCTAACCGAACCTACTATTGAAAAGCAATATACGTATCACAAACCAAACAGAAAGATAGTGAACATAAATGTTCAACGATGATCAAGCTACCAATCAATTAAATGTAATGCTAATCGTAACTCGTATACCCAATGAACCACAACACAATTGAAATACGCACAAATAATTTATCGAACACTTGGTGTGCAATCGATAGCAATTGGAAATTTAATTTGTTTTGTTGATGTTAAAAGTCAATCACAATCAAATTGATTATGATTATATCAACAAAAACACTTTTAAAATATAATAGAAAACAATTCCCAATTGAATTAATCAAACAACGATGAACTCGATAAATTGCAAAATCAACAATAAAAATGATAAAGAGATAAAGAGAGGGAGAGACCAAGATTTATTTAGGCAGTTCCCCAATCGGCCTCGCTATGGGCACGTCTGCCCTCAATTCAAAATTAAATTGAGATATTGCTATTAACCTTTTCTTTGCAAAACCGTTTATACAAGAGATGAAGAATGCAAAACCCAAAAAACTCTATTGTTTTGTGTTGATTCTTCCATGTCAAACCCTTGATCAAAAGCTTGATCAAGTCACAAATAAATATGGCTACAATCCTCCGATTATCCCGAGCGTGCAACTTGTTGAAACCCCAAGGTTCCCGAACACAGTTCAATGTCTCGCGCTACTCCCTTGCAAGGAAATCACTTTGTTCCAAGGCCTTCACTCGGTCAAATATGTGTTGACGCGATCTTGTCCAAAACCTTCAAATCAACCCGATCTTGAAGGAAAAACCCACATTAATTTTCTTATTTAAACACACAAAGTTC